AAACAGTTGAGTTTTACCGTTTTCGAATCCATTCAGCCGATCTCCGGGTCTGGCGTAGCACTTTTAGCTTAGCTTAGCATAGATCATTGAATCTGATTAGACCGATAGCATCTCGCTCAAAAATGACCAAAGAGTTTCTATATTTTTCCTATTTAAAACTTGACTCTTCTGTAGTAACATCGTGTACTAAGACCGATGGAAAATGAAAAGTTGCGATTTTCTAGGCCGATATGGCTAGGAACTATACTCTCATTCCGGCGTAATAATCAAGGAACTTTGCTGCCATACTATGGGTGCAGCAGGCGCAATGATATTACAACTATTCATGTTGACATCTATATAATTCGTCTAGCTTTACCAAGTGACAGATGAATTTGTGCCAAAATACCATAGAGTTTGATTGAGCATCTTTGACGTCAACAACAAAAGATATGGGAAGAATTATGTGCGTTTAGTTTTGTTTCCCCCCCCACTCATCAGAACCAGAACAGACCGGTTTTTGGATTAAAAAAAAGAGCATCTTTGAAACGTAAGTTTAGAATTTTCCCAAGGTGTCATGAAGTATTCTGCAACATTGCTGTCTGAAATGTCTGTCAGCCTCAAACTCTTCCAAATCACATCTATGTTTAGTTCTTATTCCCATGCCTCCTTTTAAAAGTGTCTTTTAAATCAGCCCCGCTTCCTGGATTCAAGATTGAAACCATTTGTTTAAAAAAAAAAAAAAACGGATTGTTTACTTGCCCAGCTTTCGTAGGAAAAATGTTTTGTGTCCATTTACAGGAAGAGAGGAAAATGACAGACATGCATTGAGACATTAATCACATGTTGCTTTATTTCTCAATTAATTTCACCTGCAGTTCTACCTATAATTAATTTTCTGTATATTTTCCTGCAATTGCAAACCAAACTAGGGCGTCCTTGGCGATGACACACTTTTCTGTGGCCTGGCATCCCTCTGCATAACGCAGCGGTCCCGTCCTGTTCCCGCTGGTTTGGGAGCTGCCCCTATATGACGTGTCTAAATTAGACAAAAAAAGTTGGAGTGAGATAGATTTGATTAGAGTGAAAAGTTTGTGTACTCCTCCATTCATTTTGAGCCAGTGCAGGGTGAACACATTTTTGAGCTTGGGCCAGGAACATAGTGTACTGCGCAGAGAGAGAAAGACAGAGAGCGAGCGTAGTGCACTATTCGCTGGCAGGCTGCCCTGCAGGGTCAAGTTGATTCAAATAAAAGAGCGTGTAGGCTGTTCGGCGGGCTGGAATGCCGTTCGTGTCTCCACATGATAAGGAGGCAGCCGATTTTTTTCCACAAGAAAACCAGTTTGTGACAATGCAACCACAAACGCTCACACACACAAACATAACCCCCTCCCGTTCCCTTTACGTCCGTCTTTTACGACCTGTCTTAAGGTAAATGAGTCATATATCATATATCATCGGGCCCGGGTCGTATCTTCAGGTCTATCTGTGGAATGTATCTTCTGTCTTTCTTTTTCCATTGTTTGTTTGAGGGTGTGTGCTTTATCAGTGCCGGATGTCCCTTGTCACATCTCAGATTGCCTTGTAGATTTTCCCATAATGCATTTGGAATCGATTCTTTAATTTTCACAAAGGTCTGTAGGATCTGCATGCGACATATAGATATCCCAGTGTTCAGTCCGAAACAGAGCATGAGGAAGACAGAAAAGTTGTCTCTGTTTACGGGCATCTCAAAGATATAAACCATCTAAATACAGTAGTGGCCAAAATGATTAGAACACTAGTATTTTCACCAGCTAGAAAAGGGTTTTAAGTCAGTTATTTCTGTTGTTTGCTGTAGTGTTTAAGTAGGAAATATCAGTGTACATTTCCAAACATTCATTAATAATCCAGTGAGATTTTTGTCTGACAACAGCCAGTGCTC